GAGGAAAAACAGAGGAGCCACACAGCTGAGCAAGAGCACACCTACTGACCAATATGCCTAAGAACCGCCTACCTGCTGGATCACACCTTAAAGCTTCAACACCAAAAACACCTCACAAGCATACTCCCCTGTGAAAACAAACACAAGAAGTCAGCTACAAATAAACACCCTCCTTAAAGCCTGGGCCCTGTGGAAACATGAAGACAAGAGGCCTACTGACTCTACTCAATCTACAATGCAGTTAAAGCAACACTCGCATGCAGAGATGAGAAAAAAACCAACATGGGAACTCCTATAACTCAAATGGCTAGAGTGTTGTGTGTCCTCTAAGCAACCATACTAGTTCTCCAACACTGGTTGTTAACCAGGCTAAGTTGCCATCCTGGCAAAGATTTCATGATGAAGACACCAAAAGCAATCACAACAAAAGGAATAATTGACAAAGAGATCTAATTAAACATAAGGGCTTCTGCAAAGGGAAAGAAACTAACAACCTTACAGAGACATTCTTACTGAAACTATTCCAAAAAGTTGAGGGGAAGGGACTCTTCCTGAACTCATATTGTGACGCCAGCATCATCCTGGCTCTAAAAGCTAGCAGAAACCAAACAAAGAAAGAAAACTTTAGGCTACTATCCTTGATGAACGTTGATACAAAGATACTCAGTGAAATGCAGGCAAATAGAATCAGCAGCACATCTAAAAGCTTACCCACTATGATCAAGCAGGCTTTATCCCTGCAAAGCTAAGTTGGTTCAACATACACAAATTGATAAATGTGATTCATCACACGAACAGAACTAAAGACAAAAACTGTATGATAGTTTTAACAGATTCAGAAAATGTTTTTGACAAAATTCAACTTTTTTCATGTTAAAAACTCTCAATAAACTAAGTATTGAAGGAACATACCTGACAATAATAAGAGTCAACTGTAACAAACCAAAAATCATACTGAATGAGCAAAAGCTGGAAGCAGTTCCCATGAAAACCAGCACAAGGATGCACTCTCTCAGCGTTCCTATTCAACATAGTATTGGAAATCTTTTTCAGAGCAATCAAGCAAGAGAAAGAAATATAGGGCATCCAAATAGGAAGAGAGAAGTCAAACTATCCCTGTTTACAGATGACATGATTCTACATCTAGAGAACCCCATAGTCTCAATCCAAAAGCTCCTTCAGCTGATAAACAACTTCAGCAAAGTTTCATAATACAAAATCAACATAGGAAAATGACACCAAAACAGTCAAGCTGAGAACCAAATCAGGAATGCAACCCAATCACAATTGCCGCAAAAAGAACAAAGTACTTAGAAATACAGCTAACCAGGCAGGTGAAAGAACTCCGCAATGAGAATTATAAAACATTGCGCAACAAAATCAGAGATGACACACACAAATGGAAAAACATCCCATGCTTATGGATAGAAAGTATAAATATCATTAAAATGGCCCTACTGCCCAAAGCAATTTACAGATTCAGTGGTATTTCTATCAAGCTACCAATGGCATTCTTCACAGAATTAGAAAAAACTACTCTAAAATTCCTATGGAACCAAAGAAAAATGGGACAATCAGCCAAGGCAATTCTAAGCAAAAAGAACAAAGCTAGAGGCATGCATCATGCTACTCGACTTCAAACTATAGTACAGGGTTACAGTAACCAAAACAGCATGGCACTGGTACAAAAACAGATACATTGACTGACAGAGAAAGGGAGAGACCAGACAGAATAGAGAGACTGGAGATAAAGCTACAAACCTACAACCATCTGTTCTTCCACAAAGTTGACCAAAACAAGCAATAGGAAAAGGATTCCCTATTTAATCAATGGTGCTGGAGTAACTGGCTAGCCATATGCAGAAAACTGAAACTGGACCCCTTCGTTACATAATATACAAAAATCAACTCAAGATGTATGAAGCATTTAAATGTAAAACCCATAACTTTAAAAACCCCGGAAGACAACCTAGACAACACCATTCTGGACCTAGGAACTGGGAAAGATTTTATGATAAAGACACCAAAAGCAATCACGACAGAGTCAAGAATTGGCAAATGAGATCTAATTAAATTTTAAGAGTTTCTGCACAGGAAAAAAAAAAAAGACCAGAAGAGTATTACAGAGTACCCAGTGACTACCTAGCATGTGATTTAATACAGGTTTGCGGTTAAGGGATTTTATAAAGAAGTTAAGAGATCCCAGATTTATTGAGTCAGAAAATTTTTGAATGATCTTGACATTTTACTCCTTGATTTCTGTCCTCTTTCATTAATTGTCGTATATTGATGATAGACTGGACAGGGAAAATGTGGCACATATACACCATGGAATATTATACAGCCATCAGAAATGATGAGTTTGTGTCCTTTGTAGGGACATGGATGAATCTGAAAACCATCATTCTCAGGAAACTGACAGAAGAGCAGAAGATCAAACACCGCATGTTCTCACTCATAGGTGGATGTTGAACAATGAGAACACATGGACACAGGGAGGGGAGCACTTCACACTGGGGTCAGTTGGGGGGAAACAGGGGAGGGACGGTGGGGGGTGGGGAGTTGGGGAGAGATAGCAAGGGGAGAAATGCCAGATGTAGGTGATGGGGAGGAAGGCAGCAAATCACACTGCCATGTGTGTACCTATGCAACAATCTTGCATGTTCTTCACATGTACCCCAAAACCTAAAATGCAATAAAATCAATTAAAAAAAAAGAAAATTAGAACAGCTGTCCATTGCCTATTAGCAGAGGTTGGCAAACTCTTTCTATAAAGGTCCAGAGAGTAAATTCGTTTGTTTTTGCAGGACACGAGGTCTTTGTTGAAACTTCTCAACACCAGTGCTGTAAATTGAAGTCAGCTGCAGGAGACGTGTCTCTCCATGGGTATGGCTGCTGTCCTGTAAAACTCCACTTACAAAGGTGGGTGATGTGCTGGCTTTGGCCTCCAGTGTGCAGTTTGCTAAGAGTGACCTAGAAGAGAAAGCCCCAACTTTTCCTTTCAGCCATTTCTTCCCAGTGTGCTCGATCTGTACGCAACCACTTTGGTTCCAAGCATACAGGGACTTTCAGGATTCATTCCTTCGTCCACTTGATTCCACTCATGTGCCACGTGAATAGCAGTAGTCATCAGAAATGGCATTGCTTTCAGGTCAAGCCTCTGTCAATGTGACATAAGCAGTCCTCAAAGTGAAAATCTTGGGGAACTGTTTTACACAGCTACGTTCTGGCCTTAGTTCCACAGGCTTCAGTGAATATCTTTCTCCATAGCATCCATCTACTAGTTCCCTTTTGAATGTCTTGCAATTTGCCTCTTACATGTAAAACAGTTTCCCCAGTGCAGTGGAAGGCGTTGCATAGCAGAAGCTAGCCTGCTGCACTGCGTGCTGAGAAGCAGCCTTTGGTGGGGGAAAATCCAGCACATTTCTTCACTTTATCATTAATTGAGCTTCTCCTTGAAGCTAATTTGAATTAATGTAACCAGCTTCTTTACTGAAAGCCAAACTAGAGCTGTGTGGCAGATCCACGCTGTGAAACCAAAAAACGCTGAAGAGCAATGACTTCTTTCCGGTCACTGATGGAACCTTCCAGCCCTTGTCAGAAAGCTTCCAACACTTTATCTGTGCCAGTCACGAAGGCTGGCTGGAGAAGAGGACTCTGCCCACCGTGATCCTGCTTCAGTGCCACGGAGCATAGCCTCACGTGGGTGTGACATTTGCTCTTGCATTTACCTTTCTGTATAACTTGAAGGTGTCTGAAAAACCACAAGAACTTAGGCACCTTGTTTCATGAGTTGCAAAGCCTGCCCTGCATCCTCTGAGGCTTGTCTCTTGGTAAAACCAACAGATGTTTCACATAGATGGCATGGTAAAGGGAAACAGTGCTGTATGAAATAGGCTTGCAGCTCTGTTCTTCCCTTCCAGCTTCACTTGGGGACTAAGCGATGGTCCGTGAAGGGCGAGGGACTATAAATTCAGCGCTGAATTTATAATTCCTTAAATGTGCCCAGAGCGGGATTCTGTAATGGCTCAATCCAATCACGGAATTAAACTTTCTCAGCACAAAGTACTGTACTTGCGTGCAATTACCGTAACCCACACTTTAGACATTTTGTGGGTGTGTTATTGCCAAATACATGTGAGCCTAAAACATAGATTATTTTGTTTTTCCAAATCCTATATAGAAAAAGCCACCATAAATCAATTTTATTAGAAAATATATGTCTGTTACGACCCTAATGTTGTTTTTGAATTTGACGTATGTGCTTTCTTCCTTTGATAAATGTTCATGCATTCAACTATGCCCAGGCTGTGTAATTATTCAAGTCACTGGATTCTCTAATATTTATTAGTAAAAATCCAAAGTACGTCTTCACGTCCCTGCTGCAGCCACAAAATGAGATTCTAAATGTCAAGTTTTATGGACAGAACTTTGCTTTATGCTATAGAAAGTGAGTTTTCTCATAATAAAGTGTTATCTTAATTTATTTTTCATTTTTTTCCCATGGGCTTTCTCCATGCCTCGTTTTGTTTGTCCTGGGAATTTTTAATATAACAGTGCACTACTTCTAATTTCTCTTAGCCTAGGTTTGAAAATGCTCTTACTTGTGGTTTAAAATCCTGTCCTTGTCTTAGGCCAAAGTTGGTTTCCTTTTCTTACTTTACAATTTAAATCGATTCCACAAGCTCACTTATACCTGTTTTGTCTTTCATTCCTCACAGGGATGATCTCAGAACAAAATATTAAACACACTCCGTAGGTTTTTTTCTTTGTCTCTTCCCTTATTCATTAATATTTCATCTCCAAGTCCTGACCGCCAGGAACCTTGGTCAAAGAGCAGTGTAATTTTGATTAAATATGTCTTCAGTGTTTGACTCACTGCAAAGCCTAGCCTCCCTATTGAGAAGCAGTCGAGGTGCTGCGATGTAGCTCCCATGCTGAAAAACGATCTCCGACCAGCTCTGAGACAAGGAACACCTCTGGGTATGAGACTCATTTGTCGTTGACTAATGGATTTGTGAGTGTTTGTTCCCTTCCATTTTTAAAAAATAACTGTTTTTAGAACTGGGTGTATGGCGGGCTGGGTACGGCTGCTCAGTCAGTGAGAAGTATCCTTAATTCCCACCCTGACCTCTTCCCCACCCCCTTATTTCCATCTGCTCTTTTCAATCTGCTGTTTGGATATGAGGTATTCTAAGATCACATCGTCTTCCTACATAATAAGACAGAATTTCACACCAAGCTGCTGCCTGGCAGGTGGCAATGAGGTCATGTTTGAAGAGTGGGCAAGGTACACCACTTGCAAATAACCTGAGGAAGGGCTCAGTGTGACTTGTGCTCTAAAGAGATGCAGGGGCTTGAGACATGTGTCTTTGAAGCAAACCCCATGGAGGCTGCAGAGAGATTTTAACATTATTAAGGCACAAGTCACACGATACCACTGGGGCCACTGCCAACTGATTTGTGCCTCATATTCTGGAAGCAATTCTTCCCTTTGCTTTTGTAGGACTCTGAAAAAAGTGGCATCAGTCAGCGAATGCATGTTTGTGTAAATTATGCATCTGTGAGTTCATGCTCACATGGTATTCAGGAAGCTCCATGGTGTATGGTGGAGGCCTTTGTGGGGGAGGGGAAGATGGAGAGAGGGGCAAGGAGGGAGAGGGGCTGCCAGGAGATTGGGAATCCGGAGGTTTCTGTGAATAGTGACACCTGAAATGGTCAGTGGAGGGTCTCTGGGGAAAATGAGAAGCCTGCCCTAAGTGCAGTCAATTTTCTCTCTCTGCTTCCATTCCTCCTTGCCTCTTCTCCTTTGCCTGCCCCTGCCTCTGTTCCTGGTAGCCTTTCCTTGTGTCTCCTTAAGGAGACAGGATGGAGCATTATTTGCCAGGGTGCTTGCCAATTTTATGAAGCGAGCTTTCAATTCACGTTTGGGGCGGGTGGTATTGAAAGGTGCCAGACAGTAAAACAGATGCTCTGGTGGACAGTCCTTCATTCCCCAGTTCTCATTCATTTCATGTGAATATTCTAGGGAGACAGAGTGGGGCCTTACAATCTAGTGGAGGAGAGAGACATGAGCAAATGTACATAACAACAGCCATCTAAAAAAGTGATATTGGGGAGAAAACTGGCCAAAAAGCAGTTGACCACAACTCTGTCACCCCAGGTGTCTGTCATCAACTCCAAAATGTGTGTAGTCAACAAATGCTATGAAGCTCATTCACAATTTGTATGGATGAGCTGCCTGATTGGAATAAGACAAGATGTGGAAGGTACAAGTTCTTTAAGACGAGTGGTCCTTCTAGTAGGTGAGGGTCTGCACTCTCTGCCAGTTAAAATACAGCTCCACAGGGTAAATCAGTGCGTTCTGACCCAAAGGAAGGGCAAAGAAGAAGAGCGGCTGCCCACTGTGGACTTTTGAACATCCCATCTTGTAAGACTCTAAAGGACTTGCACCTAGTTTTGTTAATCTCCAAGCAATCCTGGTAAATATCAGGTACTACGATACTAGCTTTGCTCATATGTCACAAAGGAAGAAAAGGAAAAATCAAGACTCATGTATTTAACATTCATCTCTGGGGAGGCAACACAGTATGGCTAATTAAGCAGATGACCTAAAAAGGAGAAAAGAAAGAAAAGATTACTGTACTAGGCAAAACAGCTTTAATAAGAACGCAAACTAAGCTAACATAACTGTTTTTATGATCAGGAGCTACCCTAGTAAATGGAAGAAATGTGAGCCTGGGGTCCACCTGCGTAGAGAAAGGTTCGCGCACATACGGGAGCCCTTGATTCTGCAAGACAGTCACGCTCAGCTAAGGCGGGGAAATACCAGTTAAAGAAAGATTTGTGTCTGACTGCAAGACCATCTCTGAATATTTTGAGTACTGAATTTCTGTCCGCCCGATGACAGACCTGTCTGGTCAGGTGGGCTACCATTTGTTTTGCTCTGTTCAAAGTTTTTGTCAGCGACTTGGTTGACAATGCTATGTTTTAGGTTTATTTCTAGAGAAAAAAAAACACATGCGTGTCCTGGATTCTTTAAGAATTCTCATTGTCACACAGTGAAATTCACATGCTCTTCTCCCACTTAAAGTTTTGATTTTTTTCTCCTGACTGCTGGGAGTTTGGTGTCAGTTCTGTTTCTTCATGGTGGTGATCTGCTGAACTGGGCACTGTAAGCCCCAACTCCTCTTGTGAATAAATTCTGTTCAACTCCTTGTGAATAAGGTACAAGCCCCAACTCCTTGTGAATAAACTCTGTTCAGTTATCTTCAAAGCCATATTTAACTGGCATCCCTAAATCCTCTCTACATTGGTAGAAAGTCAACCCTTAGTATTCTTCAGCTTGTAATATAGTGTAGTTTCATCCCAACAAAACAAAGTGCTTCCATAAAGACCCACAGGTCCTGGTGAGAAGGATAGGACTGGCATAGAATTGAACCGGCTCCAAACAGAGCTGCCTCTGGGCTCACAGACCCTGTAGCCTTCCTGCCCTGGATGATAAACTCGTCTGGACATTTATTTCCTCCTTCTTGATCCCCTCTGCTGTGGAGCGCGATCACCTGTCGGAACGCCTTCTCTTTGGTCACCATATGGCTTGGCCTTCCCTATCCTGATGCTTAGCTGTATCTCCTCACTCCCACTTTCATTTTTCAGCAGGTTTTCTTGATGGTTCTACAGCTTTCTGACCATCACTGAGAGCACCTCCTCCCAGAGCTAACCTTTACCAGTGGGCTCTAGCTTCTGTGGAGGCAGAAAAGAGGGTCTTTCTCTTTCTCCTTGTTCCAATCGACTGCCAGTGGTTCTGCTACCGTTTTAGAAACAAGCGTTTAGTACATGCCAGTGTTTAATCAACTGACTAATTTGTAACACGCCGCTTCATCACATCCATGTCCACACATACACACACATTTGTGCCTATTTTTACAGACAAATTTATCTGTCCAGATCATGAAAGGAAACATAGTGTATGACGTACACACTTTAAAAAAATGTTAGTATTTGTTTTTCAACTTTTTCTTTCACTTTATTGAGGAATGATTGAGAATAAAAATTGTATATTTTTAAGGTATATAAAGTGATGTTTTCATATATGTATACACCAGGAAATGATTTTTATAATAAAGTTCATTAACATATCCATATACTTACGATCTACTTTCTTAGTAAATTTCAGAATCGCAATACATTATTAATAACTGGGGTCCTCATGTTGTACATTAGCTGTTCAGAACTTATTCATCTTATAACTGGAAGGTTGTACCCTTTGACCAACATTTACCCATTCCCTCCATTCTGGATCCCTGATAACCACCTTTTCACTCTTGGTTTCTATGAGTTTGACTTTTTAAGATTCCACATATAATTGAGATCATACAGTATTTGTCTTTCTGTGCCTGGCTTATTTCACTTAGTATAATGTCCTCCAGGTTCATCTATGTTGCTGTGTATGGCAGAATTTTCTTCTTTTCTTAAGTCTAAAAATGGTTCCAGGAACCATTTTTAGCCATATATATATATATATATATATATATATCTCACAACTTCTTTACCCATTCATCTGTCTATGGATATGTCTTACATTGTTTCAAATCTTGGCTATTGCGAATAATGCTGCAATAAACACAGAAATGCAGATATATCTTCAAGATAGTAATTTTATTTCCTTTAAACTTGTACCCAGAAGTGGCATTACCAGTAATATAGTAGTACTATTTCCGTAGTTCCATCTGTCCAGATTATAAGAGGAAACATGGTGTATTAGTTAAGTACACACTTTTTACAACCAGTGCATTCGTATTTGCTTTTTTTTAATTTTTATGTTTTTTTATTTTTTGCTTTATTGAAGAATAATTGGTGATTCTATTTTTAATTTTGGGGGGAAGCTCCATGCTGCTTTTCCTCATGGCTGTGCCAATTCAGATTGTACCAGCCTCACCAACAGTGCACTACGTTTTCCTCTTCTCTACACACTTGCCAACATTTGATCTTTTTCGACGTTTTTGATAACAGTTGTCCTCAAAATGTGAGGTGACACCTTATGGTTGCTTTGGTTTGCGTTTCCCTGATGATGAGTGATATTGAACACCTCTTCATCTGCCCATTGGCCATTTGTATGTCTTGGAAAAATTCTATCCTGATTATTTACTTATTTATTTATATTTTGAAAATAACCCTATTTTTCAGTTAGGTTATTTTATTTATTTATTTTTTTGCTGTTGAGTTCCATGACTTCCTTATAAGTTTTGGATATGAACTTCTATCTAATAGGATAAATGGTTTATGAATATCTAATCCCGTTCTGTGAGTTTCCTTTTCATTTTGTTGATTGCATCCTTTTCTGTATAGAAATTTGTTAGTTTGATGTCATCTCAACTGTTTGTTTCCTTGGCTATGCTTTTGGTGTCATGTCTACAAAAACTCATCACCAAAACCAATGTCACAGAATTTTTCTCTTATATTTTTTTTCTAGGAATGTTATAGTTTCATGTCATAGGTTTAGACTTTTAATCCAGGGGCTGGGTGCGGTGGCTCACACCTATAATTCCAACACTTTGGGAGGCCGAGGGGGGTGGATCACGAGGTCAAGAGATCGAGACCATCCTGGTCAACACGGTGAAGCCCCGTCTCTACTAAAAATACAAACAATTAGCTGGGCATGGTGGCACGTGCCTGTAATCCCAGCTACTCAGGAGGCTGAGGCAGGAGAATTGCCTGAATCCAGGAGGTGGAGGTTGCGGTGAGCCGAGATCGCGCCATTGCACTCCAGCCTGGGTAACAGGAGCAAAACTCCATCTCAAATAAATAAATAAATAAATAAATAAATAAATAATAGACTTATAATCAATTTTAAATTGATTTTTGTATATAGTTTCAGAAAAGAATTCAATTTCATTTTTTTGCATGTGGATATTCATTTTTCTTGACACCATTTGTTAAACAGACAATCCTTCCCCATTGTGTAATCTGGCACCTTAGTCAAGGATTAATTGATCATATATGTCTGAATTTATGTCTGGGCTTTCTGTAATGTCAGTGTTTGAATTTTCCATCTTGATCTCTTGCTACTTATATATCTTTGAGCACATTATTTAACATTTCTCTGCTTTACTTTTATCATCTTCAAAATGGACATAATAATAGTATCTATCAAATGCCCTTGTTACTGAGTTTAAATTGGTTATCGCTTTGTCAATCACTTAAACTAGTAACTAGCACATTATAAGCACTTAGTACATATTCTTTGTTCTACTATTTTATCCCCAACATGGCAGTTAAAGAGAATAAACAGAAATTAATAAGATTGTAAATATTTTGGCTAATCTAAATTGAGCAACTACTATGTCTCAGGCACTGAGTTCAGCACTTTATATGAATAAAGTTATCTAAGTTTAAATTATAGCTCTATGATTTATTACTGTGTTTTATTAAGAAAATTATGTAGCTTCATTGAGCAATTTTTTAGTTTATAAAATGGGCATAAAATGTCTTTGAATAGTTGTGACAATTTAAGTGAGTTTAGTTATGCTAATTATGTGAAGGCAGAGTATTTACTATTTGGTGATTGATGTTATTGTCACTATTGCCATTAATATTGCCATGATTGTTATTATTATTAAATTTATTTTTTAAGAGCGAAAAGAGGTTTTGCTAGTTCACAACCGGACAGCAGATGACGTAATGATACATATGTGGTTATTGTTCTAATGCTATACAGGCTTGAAAGAGCATCTGTTTTTGTTTGTTTTGTCTTCTTGTTGTCGTTTTGTGGCTAGCATGTTTAGTTAGCCTATGGGTGAAATGTAGCAAAAATAAGAGAATCTTTCTTTTAAAACACACCATTATTTCAATATGTGAGATGATTTTAATATTTCCAAACCTTGGATGACTTAAATTTTAAAATTAGGTCAATGAAAAATTTAAGTACCAGTTGTTCATGTTAGTAACAGGAAGGAGGAAAAGGTAAAATAATCAAAACGTAATGTCTTGTAAATCTTGCTCATCCTAAGTTATTCAAAATTGCTTTTCCAACCACAAGTAAATAACAAGTACATGAGGTAGAGCATATGTTAATTAGCTTGATTTAGCCATTCTACAATGTATGCATACATTAAAACATCATGTTATATGCGATACATATATATAATTTTTGTTTATCAGTTAAAAACTGCAGTGAAAAACTTACTTTTCCATTTAAGCAGCTGTAACACAGTTGAGTGTTTCCTAAGCTTTATCCCCTTACCAGCTCTCCAGAACCTCAAGCTACAAAAGACTGCATGTTCAGAGTAGCCCCTGGGTCTTCTGCTGTTGTTATTTATTTATTTATTTATTTATTCCACGAACAATATAAGGGTCTCCAATTAGTTGCAGGTGCAAATATTATGCATGCAATTAATTGTCTTCAAATGGTTGATTATGGGCAGAATTGGCTAATTTGGGGTGCAATTAACTACTTGCCACTTAATCTGAGAATGCCCGTAGACAATTGTGTCTGCAATTAATTTACAAGAGCCATTACAGTGAAAACCTTGTACTATAAATCCAAGAATAGAGTGGGAGAATTTTTTAGAAGCAGGATTTCACTCTGGGTTAATTGCATTGACTCTTCCCTTTGGCTTTTCTATGCAGGTTGACTGTAAATGGAGTTTCTACAAGTTGCTTCCGTGATTGGTGCAGACTGGCAATGGACGAGAATGCTGAAGGCAATGGGGCTGTGTACACCCATCAAAGCTGCAGGGCCTTTGCACTTCCCAGCCTAGAGGGCCTGGTTCTTGCTTACTTGTTTTCTCTACTTGTTTATTTTTCTCTGTACATTTTCTGTTGCAGTAATATGAGAGCATTTGCAGAAATGAAAATTCTCAAATCTTTTTCAGCAAGTTCAATGTCTTTATTACACAACCCACTTTAAAATATTCTTGTTTATACATTTATTGGAAGTGATCAATAGTTAAACAGATCCTATAAGCAATTATAAGTATAGTTTTACAATTTGTTAAATTATTTCTTTAGGGCAACCACAGAGCTAAATACTGCAATTGAATTATCTTGTTTAATCCTTAAAATATTCTTGTGTATTATGTACTCTCATCATTCCTATTTTGCTTATGAACTCAAAAACTGTGGTATCTTGCCAGCACACATTGGAGCTGAGATTAAACCATGTCTGTGCAACTCTAAGCCCTGGATCTCTGCAGCTATGCTATATAGGGAATTTCAGATCTGGAAGGACACTAGATCCCATTCTCTCCAACTTCTTCATTGGACAGATGGAAGAAGGGTGTCACACAGAGCTAGTAGAGGACAAGCCAAGCTCAGAAACCAGATTTCTTGCTGCCCAGCCCAATGTTCTGACTGTAGTGCACTGCCAAAGGAAAATTCTCTAAAGTTAGTTCTGTCCACGATCTGTCTACTCTTAATAAAGGATGATTTTCCTGTGGAGTCTGAAATGTTTCAGTGTCTGTGTGTAGGCCATTGATTGAGAATGACATTCCATAGAAAACACTCCTGAGGACCATACATAAATTTCCAGCAGGGAAGGGTTAAAGTTTCAGTGATTTTGCAGGCTGGATCAAATGTTCTTGAGAGGCCATTCTTCACATCTTGTTTCTTTAGCACTAGGATAGGGTGAGTAATCAAAGGTGACAAGCTTTCTTGTCTGGTCCCACTACTGGTACAGGACAACCCAGGAGCACATTGATCCACAGTGGCAGCTGCTGCTGGCCTCCCACGAAGGCCCTGACATACATGGGGCTTCTTTGTATTATTGGAAGGAAAGAGGGAAGGAATGGGGTGCCCCTATCAGAGAATTAAGACAAGTTTTTAAATTTTCAAACCAGAGATTAAATTACCTGGAGTCTTGTGTATTTGAGATTTAGTTTCAGCTCCTTTAATGACTTTGCGCTGGTTCTCTGACATGGGAGAGGCAGAGCAAGCTCCTTTACGGTTGCTGGCCTACTTGGACATTTTGGTTTGTTGCTGTCATCTGAGTCTTCAAGAAGACTTGAAGGAGCATGCGATAAATTACGTGTGTGTTATAAAGGTCTCTGATGAAGGAGGTGGGGAGCATATACTTGGCATATGCCCATCTTTTCTAGTTTCTGTTGAATTCTAAATGACTTTTTAGGAATAGACGTTAGGAAAGAAACAAAGAGAAAGAAATCGATTTATCAAAACTTATGCATCTGCTATGTGCCAGGCCCTTCAAAGAGGTTTGATATTTTTAAACCTTGCCTGAGAGATGTTAATCCCCATTTAAATAAGAGGCAAGTGGATCTATGGAGCGATTAACCAGGTTCCCCACATTTTATACAACATTACGCAAAAAGAGATGGAAAGGTGCCACAAAGCTGACAAGAATGATGGCCAAGACATTCGTTATGAGATCTGTCAGCTTCCTTGAGCGTTCCTGCAAGACGGCCTTGAGTGAAGCTGTGTTCTCACAATTTTGAGTGTGATCTAATCCTTGTTTGTATAAATGTGATTTCATGTTACTCCAAAAGGGGTGTATGATAAGGAAATATCTTACGTTTATGTCAGATATTGCTTGATCGCTTAGTGAACATTCAGGGATGATAATCAGGGGTCAGTGAGACTCATCAGCAGACACCTACAGCTTTTTGGACCCACTTTGGATAGAGCCGCTGTGATCTAGGAAGACCAGCAAACAGAGACTTGCTCAAAATCCCAGTAGCTGCCTTGCAGGTGATTTCCCATGCACCATTTCAAATTTCGGCTTCTTTGTGTCTTAAGACTTGGCCACACTGTTGAATCTCTGATTCCTGATTCACTCTTCTATTAGCAATTAGGGTGTTTGGTGCTGATTTCCACTCTCTCCAAAGTCTCAATCACAGCAGGTAGCTAACAATAAACTCTTGTTTTGAGCCTAGACCACTCCTCCCAAATTAACTCCTTCTCCACCATGTCTCGCCACCCTGTGGTAGAACAGATGCCATGTCTGTCTTGATCAAAGTGTGAATTCCATAGTATGCATGTACAGTGTAATTAACATTGGTCACTCCTTCATGTAGAAATTATAAAAGATCTCAGAAGGCTACAAAATTGGTTTTTAAAAAGAACCAAGGAAAAAACATCGATTCCTGGGAAAGAGATTTGTCAAGGAAATTTTTTGCAAGAGCAAACCCTTCATTAGGAATCAAGTTAGATCACATTTTGAAGGAGTAGATAGATGTCTCCCGGTATTCCTATTGTCATATCATATATGACACATATAGCTAAGAGTGATTGTTTTCAGTACTGCTAAAATTAAAAGAAAGCTAATCAAATGATTAAAATTAAATGTAATTACTTTTACCTAAATCGTGAGTTTTTAAAGCAATGAATAAGACTGAAAGTTGAAAGCTACTTGTTAAGCAAATAAAAAATCAAAGAAGATATTTTCTTTATTGAATGATACTCCTATGTAAACCAGCATATACAAATCATTTTCATGTTTGAAATATGGCAGGTTTGTAATTGGAATATTCAACAACAGCCGTAACTTAGGCAATTCATGAACTGCCTTGATTCTTAACCACAACGTAAAATCTGCACTCTAAATTCCATTTCTGGTTCCTAAAGAACCATAAGATGCAGCAGCCAAATACAAAGATGCTGGGATGAAAATAGACCTGAATTTGAGTTTGACCTGACTGTTCACTGGGGCCGTTAGTGTGAACATTCACTTCACTGCTGTAGCCTCACTTTCTGGTATCAATCTCTACCCCATTGGGTAGGAGGAATCTGTTATCTTGTTCACATAGCTTAAACTCGATGCTACTTACTATTTTAATTTTATTTTATTCACTGCTATTGTTGAAATATAACTTCCAAACTCTTTGTAAGGTTTGTTTTGTATGCTTTGGTATCAGTTATAGTCACCTTAGCTTTGTAAAAAGTGGTGTGTCCATTCTGTTATGCCGGGAATGTGTTTGTATCTATGCACGCAGCTCTGTGAAACAGAAAGGCAAGAAGCTTCTCTTATTTGAGCCTTGGTTTTTACCTGTGAAATGAAAAGTCCCCTCCACCTTTCTTAATAAGAATACAAAGCTCTGTTGAGAAGTGGTCCTTACAGCACAGGCCCACTATGACCAAGAAGGACCAACCTGGTAGTTAATAAAGAACTTTTTGGAAATATTTTTACCTCTCAGAATTCATGCAGTTTGGAACTCCAGGATGAGGTTCCAGAGAGACCTCATTGTATAGCCCTAAGCCCAAGGAATGGTAAAAATTCTGAGGCAGCATCCACAACTCCATCCCCATATGCATTATATTCTCATCTGTTGAGAGCATTTTACTCTGTGTTACCTAGATTAACCTCACAGCATCTTGCAGGAAGAATAAGGCACATGTAATTATGTCTCTTGAGCCAATAGGACACTGAGGCATAAGAAGAGAAAACCTGCTACACAGAGTGGAGAACAAGGTGTAAAAACTGCCCTCCAGTGATTTCTGGAGCAATTACTGCAGAGACCACTTTAGCATCTCTTTAGCAATAAGTGCATGGGGCACTCAGGGTTATGCTCTTTTTGGAAAGAGGCAGCAAAAATTCCAAAAAGGCAAGGGGACTGATTTGCATGCCTAGTTTCCTGAATTTCCACTGTGTCTCCAGGATTTTACTGATCCATTGATCCAGTTATCAAATGGGTGGCCCTTTGAAAGTCAGAGGTCTCCAGGAAGAATAAAGGAGGTATTGGATCTCTCTGTTCAATGAGGTTATAGGAAATTATAACCCTCCAGAAAGGAGCCAAGATTTTCCCTGGAATCTTCTCAAAGGGCACATATTAATTGAACTCTATGTAAGCATGCAATCACATAATGCTTGCTTACTTCCAAATTAGATGCAATACCAGGAGGTGAGATACCACAGACGTAGCATAGGCTTTGGGAGGCAGAGTGGTTTACGTCATGGCTGTTCTTCTGAATAGTCTTGTGTCTCAGATATCTTCACTGGTCAGTAAGTCCACCTGCATATTGAGGGAGGGGACTTTTTCCCAAGGTCTTCACAAGGATTGAATGAGATAAAACGTATCAGCTACCCAGTTCCAGACTTGACATCATGAGTCCACCATATATGTTAGTCTTATTTGGGGTATGGAGGAAAATCTGCTTAAATCCCTTAACACAGAACTATTTTTCATAATGCCTAAATAAAGATTTTTATTTCTCTGGAAGAAAACAAAATTTTTTTAAAAGTAACAAACCTTAATATGAAACCCCCAAATAAGCATACAAATCTTAATAGGTACCTAAAGAAAAAGATCTCGAATAACATTTTGAACAACATATAGATGAATTAAGAGACAAAAAATGAGGACCATATGGATGAGTATTTGCTTAAAATACACATGGGCTTAGGGGAAAAAAGAGAGAAAATTGCTGGCAAAAATGTGCCTTGGAATTGTGCCAGATTTCAAAACATTTAAATAAATAATCTGAGTTTAGAAAAAAGTAAAGAAAGATTTGTCTCATTCTGCTGAATAAGTGAGAGGACAGCGACGTGGCCTCCAACTTTGTGAGCCTCACAGTGAACACACAGGCCTGCTGGCAAGACCTGGTCCGGGCCATTCCCATCTGGAGTTGGCTGGTTTCGCTTTAGAAATAAGACCCCTCGCTTATGATATTCTTGTGCTATATTGCACAACGCTCGGCAAAATATTTATAAATTGGATGCATCTTTTGCTTTATTCCAGCTTGAACTTTACCAGTAGTCAAGCAAGTGAGAAGCAAACATACCATCGTTGTGGGGATTTGTCTGCATTGTT